ATATTGGTCTGTAGTTTTTTATATCTGTCGAGGCGGGGTCTTCTTTTGGAATTAAACTAATATTGGCCTCCCTCCATGAATGGGGAATTTCTGCTTTCCCCAAAACTTCATTAAATAGATCTTTCATGTGTTCTCCCATTACCTCAAACATTGTCTTATATAGCTCCGCCGGGAGCCCATCTGTGCCAGGTGTTTTCAGATTCCCTTGTTTCTTCACTGCTCTTTCAATTTCCGTTAAGGTAATTTCCTCTTCTAATATTTCTTTCGTTAAATTAGATATTTTAGGTAAATCCGAATTCTCTATATAATTTTTTATCGCACCTGCTAAGGTCTCTTCTTCTTTGTATAATTCTTTATAAAAGTCCACTGCAATTTTTTCCTTTCCTCCTTTATCTTTTATTAAATTTCCTTCCTTATCTTCTAACTGATCAATTAGTCTATTTTGTTTTTCTTTTTTGAGTCCATAGGTGAGCCATCTTCCTAATTTATTAGCTGATTCAAAGTGTTTTTGCTTTGTTATTTTTATCTTATCTTTCAATTTGTCCAGCTCTAAAAGATTAAGACGATGTTTTAGTAATATTATCTGTTCTTTCGCTTCCATGGATAGTGGATTATCTTGTAGCTGTTCCTCAGCTTTTATTATTTTATTTAATATTTCACCCCTTTCTTGCTCTTCTTTTTTATGTTTGATGGCCATATGTTTTATAATGAGACCTCTTATGAAAGCCTTAGCAGTATCCCAAATTATTTGTAGTGGCATTCCTGGAGTCTTATTTTCTTGAAAGAAATGGGTTATTTCTATCTTCAGTTTTTGTGTAAATTCACTTTCGTTTAGGATCTCTGTTCTCATCATCCATCTCCTTCTATTTTTCCCCTCTTCCTTTAACACTGCCAAAACCGGGTTATGATCCGCCCAATCATTAGGTAAAATTCTAATTTCTGCTATTTGGGAGTTGAGTTCCTGTGACATCCAAATCATGTCCAATCTGGACCACGATTTATGACTAGAAGAGTAATAAGTAAATTGCTCCACAGTCCGATTGTAATCCCATCAGGTGTCTTTCAGTCCTAATTCCTCTCTCATTTCCTTGCAAATGGCTAGTAAAATCCTCTTATCTTGTCCTTTATTTCCTTTTTTAGTATTTTCCCCTGTTTTATAATCTTGTGTCCTGTTAATAATTGCATTAAGTCACCCATAAGGCATACCTGCTCGTATTCCATTTCTCGAATTTCTTTTTGTATTCTTCGGAAGAATGAAGTTTGTTTGGTGTTAGGGGCGTAAATTCCAATCAATAGTACCTTTTTTGTAGTAGTTCCACCTCTAATATTAGTATTCTTCCCTCTTCGTCCGTAAACAATTGTTTCGGCAAGAGATGTTCTTTTACAAATATAGCTACTCCTCTTTTCCTCTCCTCTGAAGCCGCTACAAATAGTTTCCCTGCCTTGGAACATTTCAGCAATTTTGTTTGTGACAATTTAAAGTGAGTCTCTTGTAAACATGTTATATCCGTTTGGGCTTTGGCTATTTTGGATAAAATACATCTTCTTTTTGTCGAGGCATTGAGACCGTTAACATTTACCATCAGTAACCTCACTCCTTGATTCATTTCTATCTATTAGCCCCTTTAGTCTTAGCTGCTAGACGAGTCTCTACCCCATATTCTTCTACTCCTCCTTCTTCCCCCCTCCTCCCATTTCTTTTCCCCTTTCCATAATCTACTTGCGCTCCTCTCTTCTCCATTCCTCTTTCTGATCTCTCTGGCTCTCTTTGACTACCTCTTTGTCTCTTTCACTTTCGCCATGTCCAAAGTAATTCTCACAAAAGTCTTGTGCGTCATATATGCTCTCAAGTTTAATTTTCCGCTCTTGCTGTGTCACTAAGAGTCCTTCAGGTAGTAACCATCGATACGGCGCATTGTGTTTTCTCAATTGTGAGGTTATGAATTGATAGTTATGTCTCTGCTCTCTCACTCTTCTAGGGATCTGTTTTAGTATTGTAATCTGCCGTCCTTTATATGTAACGCTCTGATCTCTGGCTTTGTGGAGAGTTTCATCTCTTAACGCCTTTTTGGTTACCCTCATGTGTATTTCTCTAGGCAGATTGTGACGTCTCGCATAATTAGTGTATACACGATATGCTTCATCAATCTCGCCACATATTTCCTCTTTTTTCCTCCCCACTACTTCTGCAATTATTTCTCCTACTATTTCATCCAGCTGTTCTTCTTTGTCCTCAACCACATTTTGGAGACGAAGGAAAAAGGCGGATTTTTCCATCTCTAAGAAAACTATTTCATCCTCAAGCTTCCCCACCGCTTGCACACATTTCTTTTCACATTTATCAATCTGAATTTCAACTCTTTCAGAAGTTTTTTCCACCTCTATCAATCGCTCTTCGTGGTCCAGGATGGTTGTTTTCATTTCTCCCAGAGTCTCTTTTATTTGTATAATTTCACCTCTTAACCCACTCATCTCAGTTTTCAGATCATCAAAACTTTTGGCAATTGATTCTTGGTTTTTTTCCATAATTTCTTGAATATTTTGGAACATATATATACATATATACGGTACCTGTGCATTTTGTTTTTCTTGCCTAAATGTAGAACCTTACTTTTTTCACCATTGAATTTCATTCTGTTAGATAGCGCCCAATGTTCAAGTCTGTCATGATCCTTCTGTATCTTAAGTCTACCTTCTGGAGTGTTGGCTATTCCTGCCAGCTTGGTGTCATCTGCAAAGATGAGTTCCCAGTGATGGTTGTCTTTCTGGAACTCTGTCCCATCTCCACACAGGATCACTGGAGCTCAGTCAGAGTGTTAGCTAGCCTGCTGCTTGCTGCCATGGAAAAGTGGGGAGGGGTCAGTGGAGAATTGTTCATTGTGACATTGCAACTACGGTCTGGGCTTTGCTTATCTCTACTAAGTGTAGATTAATGAGAAATAAAGTGAATTTCAATAACTGTAGAATCAGGCTGCACCATAACTAAATTGACAAAAGTGAAGTGGGTCTGAATACTCTCTGAATGCATATATTAATTAGGGTCCATTTTGAATATATATCAGAAAAAGAACTCCTGAGAGGTAAGAAGATTGATATATAACATAAAGCTATTATAGAATCTAGATGTTCTGCTTCGAATACTACAAAGCCTCCTCCCAGAAAGTAACACAGTCATGGAGAAATTGTGTAGTTTCCCTTAAAGAAGAATAAAGGAGAATATTTGTACTCAGGGTTAGTATGCAGGGTCCTTGGTGCTCTCTGAGTTTGGATGTTTTCTTGTAGACGTTTCATTACCCAAACTAGGAAATATCATCAGTACCAAGTTCATGAATGTCAGCCAAGCTCAGAGAGCACTAAGGACCCCTCATGCTGTCTGTTTTTATTCCTGAATCCCAGTGAGATGGGTGTTGGGGGCACTGGAACGCTGACAATGAGTGTTACTCACATGGAGACATTTCCTGGAAGGCAGTAAAGGGCCTTTTGAGGTATGCACTGATCATAAGAACCTTGATGCGCTAAAAACTCCCCAGAAACTTTCACCCAACAGGTGAGATGGACGCAGTACAGCCATAGGATTCAAATAATTTAACAACCAGTTCTCTGCCCTAATGACTGGCTGGGTAGGTGTGGCCGGGTGGTCATGTGACTGGGTGAGCATGGCCAACTCAATGTCACTCATCACACCCAGCCCTGCCTCCCAGCCACTCACCTCAAAGACAGAGGTTGGATTCAGTTGGTTCAGACCAGTTCAGGCTAATCCCACCACTGGGAACTGTTTGGTGACTGAGAGCCATTGAGACCTAACTGTTGGAACAGTTAGGAATAAAACACAGACGCACAAATCCGTACACAGCAGCTGAGAATGGTATAATTGAGAGGCGGAATGATATCTTACAAACAATGAAGGACTCACTGCTGGAGGAATCTGGTCTGAGCAGGTGGGGGTGAAGCCATGTTGAATGCTAATTAATTAATCAATAGGCTGTGAAGTTCCTCTATTAATAATACTCAGTATGCAGTGCTATATGGGAGAAAACCACTTCTGGCACATTTAAGGGTTTTTAGAAGCAATGCATGGGTGATATTCCAAAAACAATTAGGAGAAAAGGTCAACCAAAGGCTACAAGTTTACAGGCTGTGAGCCTGGCTCAAAGAGCTATCACTTTAGCGATGGGAGCAAAGAGTAATCATTTCCATAATCAGCCATTCTCAAGACTTGCTCCAGCCACCATAGACGTCGCTGTTTCAATAGTGTATATATGCTAGAAATTCCAGCACGTTCCAAGACTGCGCTATTTGGAACTTCGTCCTGCCAGGTGATGCCAAGGATTCGTCGGAGAGAACACATATGAAAGGTGTTCAACTTTCTCTCTTGCCGTGCGTAAAGGGTCCAAGACTCACTATAGTACAAGAGTGTGCTTAGGCAGTTGTATTAACCTCTGAGCCACAAGTTCTCCCTTTATCAGCTTGAGCCAGGGGAGAGATTAAGTATTTCTTTATCAGCAAATGGAGCTGAAAGGCGAAAGGGAAACAATATGCTCCCTCCCATATTGGAGTAGACCAGATGCTTTGATAGAAAAACACAATCTCTCCCCTGGCTCAAGCTGATAAAGGGAGGAGGTTAATACAACTGCCTAATATGCAGGCAGCCCAAGTTCAAATCCAAGTAAGGGTATGGCTAGCTGATGAAAGCTAAATAGCTTGAAATAGATCTATACTAGTCTCCCTTTATTTCTTTATCAGCAAATATAAATTTTATGTGTGTGTGTGTGTGTATGGTGTGTATCTGTCTGTCTGTCTGTCTGTCTATCTATCATTTTTCCCCTTCACATTCAGAACTACTGTTACTCTCAATTCAATTCCAACAGAAGCTTCTTTCTTATTTTGAGGAATTTTTACAATAAACAAATGGCACATTCATTGACCTTACATTTTGGCATGAGCTAATAAAAAGCCTTGTTATCACTAACAAGACAAACCTCTTTCTTGTATCTTCTTAGGATGTGCAGTACGTGCCAAAAGGAGGCTTGGGAAGGTAAGTAGAACAGCAAGGGGGGGATCAGCTTGGTGTGCAGCTTAGCTTTGCTAGAAAGCAGGAAATCCTGCTTTCTAGCAAAGCTAAACCGCGCGGCACAGGTGATCATCGGATTGTAGCTTTTTTTAACTACTGGTTAAAGTAGCTAACTAGCTTTTTAAACATGCAGTGCGTGTTTGGTGCGCACTGCGCATGCGCACACAGCATGCATTTGGTACGCATTGCGCATGCGCACACAGCGTGAGTTTGGTGCGCATGCGCGGCTGGTGAACTGGTAGCAAACAGGTTCAGATTTCACCCCTGCCTAGTTCCTATAGCTATTTCTACTGAAGGTGTGTCCCTTCTCAGTCTGGTCACTGGATTTTATTGGCATTGCCTTCTATGCACTGCAAGAGAGACTGGGCATCTGGTTTGTACAGCCTTGTTATTGTTTTTGACATGGAAATACCTCCCTCCTGGCGCTTTGCAAATGAATATCAGTCTTTCATTAGATCCAATGATTGGATCATTAGATCCAATGAAAAGCCTGGTGGCTCAGCAGACTAAAAATATTGTGATTAACACCAGCTGTCTGCAATTACTGTAAATTCAAATCTCACCAGGCTCAAGGTTGACTCAGCCTTCCATCCTTTCTAAGGTAGGTAAAATGAGGACCCAGTTTGTGGGGGCAATAAGCTGACTTTGTATAAATATACAAAAGTATGAAGGCTATTGCTTAACGCATTGTAAGCTGCCCTGAGTCTCCGGAGAAGGGGGCCGCATAATCAAATTTTTTTTAAAAAATGATTGACAAGTAAAGATTTAAAAACAACAAGAAAACATTTTCTGTTGATTTCATGGAAAACTGACATTTTAATTTTTCTTTTTTAGCATTAACATTGAGCACCTGGCATTGTCCTCAAAGTTATTTTGACTTGGACTGAAAGAGAAACTGGACAGCTGGCTTGTACAGAATAGATTTGTCAGTCAGTATGATGATAATTTGTATTGCTATACCTCAGATTAATATAATGGGAAAAAAAATTATTGACTAATTGGTGGGGCATATGCCGAGGACCAGAATAAAGCAGGAAGGAACTGTTGATCTGCATGTCAACTCCATTCCAATTGATAGATCAGATTTTTAAAAATCTTTTGCTATTGACACAGGTCTATTGGTTTCCAGGAAGGAGTGCCTAGAGCAGTGATAGCTAGCCTATTCGGCACCTAATGCCGAAACTGGAGCGCGGCCAAAGCCGTGAGGGCACACGTGCTGTTGCTCTTCTGGGTTCCGGTGCACACATGCACGGCAGCCAGCTGCTCTTCTGGGTTCCAGCACGCATGCCCACTGGCCAGCTGCTCTCTTCCTGGTTCCGGTGTGTGCATGTGCGCCAACCAGCTAGTCTTCATGCAAAGAGCAGCTGGCCGCTGCGCATGCGCACACAGGAATCCAGAAGAGCAGCTAGTGACAGGGCTCTGCATGCCAAGAGGTTCGCGTCCCAGAGGGTCACCATCACAGGCCTAGAGCTTCTCAATTCTGCCCCATTATAAATTATTGAGAACTATTGGTTGTTGTTTTCCTTTCCCTCTGGGTGGGTGAGAGGGAAAGGAATACACATTAAAGCAGCCATGAGGAATTGTTCTCCAAGTTTGAGTTTATTCTTTTCCATAAGTTCTTAAGCAAAATTTAGATTGTATGAATAATTAGTGCAATGATTCAGTAACTTGTATATTCTTTTATATCTCCCTTCAAACTTTTTTAGCACAGTGTCTCTTTACATAACTGTTCACATAGAGCTCTTAGAACCTGAACTGCCTCATCTGCAGCTTTAAATAATTCTGTGGTCTTTTCATCTCTGTGTGTTTTCCTATTTGATCGTCTGTTGCCTGACGTACCTTACTTTTCTAATCGCATTAGTTCCTGAATATATTAATTCTCAACAAATGCTTCTTTTATTCTATAAGGCCATTTTAAAGGTTTTTGGCATAGCCTTTCCATCTTTAAGTTCATGTGTGTCTATCAGATCTCTTCTGTAATAATTGTTGAGTCATTCTGCCCTAGCTAGAAATTCTCCCATGATCTGTTTGATCTTAAAATATTTCTCATTTTTCTTTCCTTTGTTTTTGTTGATATGCTTGGTCCAGCTATCTTTTCTTCCTTGGAAGTCTGTTCAGTCATTGTAGATCTGTGTAGTAGCCCACCATTTTCTCTTTGCTTTTCATAATTTTGGACCAGTGGTGAAATGTACAATTTGTTACTACCGGTTCTGTGGGCGTAGCTTGGTTGGGGGGGTGGTAATATGACTGAGTGGGTGTGGCCTTTTTTTTTTTTTTTACTTTTAAAACCATTTTTTCTACAACCTCTTCAGCTGAAGAGGTTGTTTAAAAAATGCTTTTAAAGCCTCTGATGATCCCAGCTGACTTGCCTGATCGGCAGAGGCTTTTTTTCCTTTTAAAAACATTTTTTCTATAACCTCTTAGGCCAAAGAGGTTGTAGAAAAAATGCTTTTAAAAGCCTCTGATGATCCCAGCTGAGCCGCGCGATCATCAGAGGCTTTTTAAAAGCATTTTTTCAGCCAAAGAGGTTGTAGAAAAAATGCTTTTAAAAATTAAAGCCTCTGATGATTGTGCAGCTCAGCTGGGCAATGGGGGGGGAGGGATTTTTGCTACCGGATCAGGCGATCCGGTCCGAACCGGGAGCATTTCACCCCTGTTTTGGATCTTTATGAACCCAATCCTATTTGGACCTTCTGTGTTTTGAAATTTGAGGGTTTTTTTAACTTTAGTTTTCACAGTGTCTCTTCCTGAGTCTCTTCAAGTTCGCTTTTATAAAAGTTAATATATACTGAATATGTTGTTATGTTGTCATATTTTACAATTCTATATTCTCTAAGTCAAATTTATTTTAATAATTTAGGATCTTTTCATAGTCTGCATTCTAGTTGATTTGATTACACATCTTCACTTTATTATATATTTAATTTAGATAACCAATTGGTAACATCCTTGTAGAAAAATTGTGCTTATGTTTCTTAAACCAATTGTTGGCTTTGGACAAAGAATTCTATTCACAAGTTGTATTAACTTATATACTGCAACCTTGAACCTAGTAAATCTAGATCTTTCTGTAATTCTAGGCCAGGGCTGTCAAACTCCCTGTCAACCCTGAAGCTGACCTGGCCGAAGCCATCTTGGAGCTTCAGTGTTGCCACACTGGAGCGAGGGATAGGGAGGGGGGATTAGAGATACATGGGACTGTGTAGTCAAAATAAAATACTTTCCCCTGGGAACCAAGGACGTTCTCACACTTGGCCAGAGGAAGGAGGAGTGATGTCACCAGATGTGCGGACGCTGCCATGATTGTGCCATGTGACTGATTGTTTGGCTTTGAGGGGAAAACATTTAGGTGAAAACCAAGGGGCCTTTCAGAGTTGGTTTTCACCAGATATGTTCCAATTTGATATTTCCAATGAAGCTATTCTTTGAGGAATCTACCTGCCTCAGAGTTCTTGCTTGCAATGGGACTATTACTTGGAACCCTGACATTCCCGACATATGGGTGCACTCCCGGCCCAGATGCAGGGGTGGAATGCTACCGGTTTGCTCCGGTTTGGGCGAACCGATAGTGATAAAAACTACCGGTTCGGACGAACCACTAGTAATACTTTTAAAAAAAGGTTCCGACGATCACAGCTGTGCCATGTGATCGTCAGAACCTTTTTTTTTACTTTTTTAAAGTATTTGTTTTTACTACCTATTTGCCCGAACCAGTAGTCAAAAAAATGCTTTAAAAAAGTAAAAAAAAAGTTGGCCATGCCCACCCAGTCACATTACCCCCCACCACCACCAAGCCACACTCACCAAGCCACACCCACAGAACTGGTAGCAAAAAATTTTGCATTTCACCCCTGGCCGGATGCGTCATGCACTACCCATGCCCGGTTTAGCAAAGGGGGAAAAAGTCCTGATACATCACGTGATGCCGCCATGATGACATGAGTTTGACACCCCTGTTGTAGTCACTTAAATTTCTCTTAATGGTTTGCACTCCAGTCACCAATGAATACTATTATGTCCATGATGCAGCTAACACAACTTGCAAATTGTCATAAAAATTGTTAGCATCTTCCTCCATGGTTTCTTGCAATAGTGTCAGGGCATTTATTAATCCCATGTTTGGCTCTGGGACTAATTACCCTGGTTTAGAGGAGGAGATGAATCAAGGCTTATCCTTGTTTTCAATATTCCGAAAAGAAACGCGAAGGAAGGTTTCTAATAAAACTCATTTATTTGTTATAAAGAAAATAAAACACCTCACTAACTAAGAAAAGTTAATTGTTACATTTTTGAAGGTAATTCGGGCCGGCTATGTCAGCCGGACCTTGCTGGAAAGAGAACAAAGGAAGGAGAGAGTGTGAAGCAAGTGAAGGAATGTGGGTGGATACGGAAACACGTAGCTTACTGATAAGAAGTTGGCAAAGCTACGGAGAGTCTGACAGTCCAGAAATAATGAGCTCAGCTGGTAAATAAAATAACGCAGTGACAAATAGTGTGTATCTGTATATGCTTACATAATACAGATGTTTACTAGATATCCATTAATTCTAATAGGTATAATTTCTGCTTATTGGATTATATCTGAACACATCTATAAGGGAGTCCTAGTGTACCTGGATGACATTCTCACTTTTACTGGAACAACAAGAGCACATGAAACTGGTGCAACAGGTGCTCAAAAAACTTTTGGCGGCCAATCTGTATGCCTAACTATTCAAGTGTGAATTCCACAAGTCTCGCTTGGACTACCTGGGCTACCGAGCATCAAGCGACCGGGTAGAAATGGACCCAGAGAAGATGACCATACGAGCTACCCAGACCCGAAAGCATCTGCAGAGCTATCTGGAGTTTGCTAACTTGTATTGGCAGTTCATCAACCCTCTTTTGCCAAGATTGTCCTGCCAATCACCAGACGGCAAAAAACAGGGAAAAGGGAAACCTCGGCCAAGCCAACCCTTGAATTGGACGATGGAGTACCAGAAAGCTTTTGAGGAGCTGAAGCGGTTGTTTGCCAAGGAGCCGGTTCTGAAACACCCCAACCCCAAGAACACCTTTGTCATCCAGGCAGGCGCCAGAGATATAGCGGTGGGGGCTACTCCAGGAAATAGGGATGGGAAGCTGCAGCCATGTGCTTACACCTTCTAAAAGCTGACTGAGATGGAAAGACGGGCAGTGTGGGAGAAGGAAGCATGTGCTCCAAGATGGCCCCTACTGACATGGTGTCAGTTCCTTGAGGGGAGTAAAATGCCTTTTGAAATACGAACTGACTATAAGAATCAGGAGGCACTTAGGCCCTCTCAGAAGCTCTAACCAAAGCAGGTTTGGTGGGTGCAGTACTTTGAACAATTTAACTTTGAGTTAAAGTACATCCTGGGCAGAAGAATTTCTTAGCTGATGCCCTGTCCCCCATGCTGCAGTACAATAGCAGTCGGGAGGAGGTACTAAATGCCATTATTCCCCTGACAAAGAAGGCGGCACAAGTGACTACGAGGCAACAGGCCAGGAGGAAGTCATCGGATCTGGGGCCCGAGCTAACCCAGCAGCTAGAGGGACATGCAATTAGATCTGTGGTTCAAAGACCATGGGGGTGGGAGCTGATGTCGAGAGAGGGACTAGTCTGGAAAGAGGACAAATTGTACGTCCTTAAAACCCTGTGGGTCCAAGTCCTACAGCAGAGCCACGATGCCAAGCAAGCCGGCCACTTTGGGTTTTAAAGACCCTGCACTTAGTGAAGCACCAATTCTGGTGACCAGGGATGAAAAAGGACATAGATAACTATGTAAAAAGCTGCACCGTGTGTGCAGCCATGAAGAAAAGGCCAGGGAGGAGCCCAGGGTTGTTGCAGCAAGTGACAGATCCAACCCGACCCTGGGAGGAAATAGCAATGGAGTTTATAATTGATCTCTCTGAAAGCAGGAAGAACATGGTCATCTGGATAGTGATAGACCTGTTTTCCAAGCAGGCTCACTTCGTAGCCTGCTTGAGCTTCCTGTCTGCCCAGAAACTGGCCAAATTGTTTTGCAGCACATTTATAGGCTGCATGGAGTTCCAAAAAGGACCATCTCAGATCGGGGGGTCCAGTTCATGGCAAAATTTTGGGGAGAGTTGTGAAAATGATAGGGTCCTCCCAGGGGCTTAGTTCTGCGTTTCATCTGACCACAAACGGGGCCATGGAATGAGCTAATGCAATGATAGAGCAATATTTGAGGTGGTACATCAACTATCAACAATCTAGTTGGGCAGACCTTCTGCTTTTCGCTGAAGTTGCCTATAATAATGTGGTCCATAGTAGCATAGTAGCCCTGTTCAAAATAGCCACAGGTGTAGAATTTGTCCCCATGCCTGAGTACCCTCGGGAACCCCACTCCTCAGTGAGTTTGACAG